CCATCGTTCGTTTTAGACGTTGCGCCCGAAGACGAAAAGTAATTTTTTGAAACCGGTTGCGCAGATAAGCAAATTAATTAATAAATACTAATTCTTCACACATTTTTTGTGTTTTTCATTAACTAAAATTCCCGAAGAATTATGGAGAAATACATTCCTTTTGTATTATTTGAACATCCTCTTGGGGTTGCAAAACACTTTCCAAGTTTGAGTGCACAGGTGCGTTGTCGATAATAAAACTCGGGTGCAAGAATCCTAAATTTCTACATGTTGCAATTAAACCTCTAAACCGTACTTTGCATTCTGCACCTTTATACGAACCTCTTTTATGCTCAAAAGATACAATTTGTGTGGAACACATCGCGCCAATGCAACGCAAATTATTTCCTTTACTTGCCGGAACAACCACATGAACTCTATGGCCAATTTTTGATCTACCCTCATTTCGACGGCAATATAAATTAAAGTTGCACTCATTAATCCAAATGAGGTCTCTACCGTTACCTCGGCTTTCTAAAAGTTTTGCAACATACTTCCTCCGTTTGACTTTATTTTCGTACTTATTGATGTTTGCAACACAATACAATAATTTACCGTCCAGCCAGTTCTTTATCGTATTAATTGAAACACGAAGTTCAAATTCATTATGCACGCGATTAGATAGATCTTTAAGCGTTAACGTACTATCTTCTTCGATCCACCTTACTAACGCTTCGTCAATTGCAAGAGTTTTTTTAGACTTGGAACCTCCTTTAGGTTTCGGATCTTCTTGATCATTTTTTAACCATTCGTACGCAGTGCGAACGTTGACACCCAAGTCTTGAGCAGTTTGCCTCCAGTTTTTACCATCTTCGTAAGCTTTCATTATTCTTCTTCTATCAGCAGCACTAACCTTATTGTATTTACCGCGAGGCATTTTCATGGAGTTACGAAAGTTTGACGTTTATTAAAACAAATACCAAGCATACATGACTTATTCTTCGCAATTAATTGTCTTTCTTTAGGTGAGATTCCAAGTGTAAGTATGCTAGATTTTTTTTAAATTGATTTTCATAAATTTAAAATTAATTTTGACGTGTATGAAATTCATTTTAATAAAAACAAAATTAAAATTCGTAAAAGAAAAATTCAGTTTCTTTAGTGTGAAACTGGTTTTCGTTAGTAGGAAATTGATTTGTCGTTAGTGCAAAAATGATTTTCATTTGTGTGAAATCCAATTTCGTAAGTTTGAAATTGAATTTCATAACTGCGAAATTGATCTGGAAATGGTATAGATATAGACCTACTAAATTGGACGCTCACTGGCAATACTATAAGCAGTTGAGGAACTACACTACTCTCGCGATTCATAATGAAAAAAAGGCTTATTTTGAATATTTACGAACACACTCTGATAGTAAAACCTTGTGGAAAACGTTTAAAAAAGTGCATGTGGTTCCTAATAAAAACACTGATATTCCGTCTCATTTAAGAGATGCCAATTTAATAAATCAATTTTTCATCAATGGTGTCCCGGTCAGTAGTGATAATTTAGCTGACACTATTAAATTTTACTCGTCTACTTCACTAAATGGGACTAACGCTCCATTTGAGTTGCGAGTTATTGAGCAGGAGACGGTCAGGGATTTGATTTTTGCCATTAAGAGTGGGGCTTATGGTTATGATCGGGTATCTGTTTCTATGTTGAAACTGGTGGTTCCTCAACTGCTACCTCATATTACTCATATTATAAATAGTTGCATTGCTAGTGCTTATTTTCCTAAGTTGTGGAGGTCTGCGATTGTACTGCCTTTACCTAAGGTGACCTCGCCTACTGAGTTTAAAGATCTGCGCCCTATTAGTATATTACCAACGTTGAGTAAAGTCTTAGAAAAAATTGTTAATAAGCAGCTTAGAGAATTTTTAATTGAATATAACATTCTGCCTGATGGACAGTCGGGCTTTATGCCTGGTCGCAGTTGTGCCACTACCTTATTAAATGTTACTGATGATATAATAAGGGCTAGGGATGATAATAAATTCACTATATTAGTGCTTTTGGACTTTAGTAAGGCTTTTGACACAGTCAACCATTCTATTTTGTTAGCTATATTACGGAATATAGGTTGTAGTAATGATTTTTTAAGTTTCATGCAATCTTATCTTCAGAATCGGCGACAGTTAGTGCGAGTGGGAGGCGAGGTCACTGAGGTTTCAGACTTTATGAATATAACTAGAGGTGTGCCGCAGGGCTCCATTTTAGGACCCTTATTATTTTGCATATACACTGCTTTTATGCCTAAATGTGTTAAAAATTGTCAGATACAAATGTATGCGGATGACACACAAGTATATTTGCATTTTGCCCGAGAAGAATTTATTACTGCTATGGCAAAGGTTAATGAGGACCTAAGTAGTTTGAATACATTTTCGGTTGCTCATTCTTTAAAGTTAAATCCTTCAAAAAGTGTTGTGTTGCTATTTGGTAATGAGAAGAAGGTTGAACACCTATGTCAAAATATTGACATTAATATTAATGATCTTTCAATTCCTTTTGTTAATGAAGCTAAAAATCTTGGGCTATTGATGGACAATTCCTTCAGATATCGCTCTTATATATCTAAAATAATTGGTCTTGCCTTCTGTAAACTGAAGGTTTTATATACTTTTAGAACTGTTCTCAGTATTGCTATGAAGAAAACGCTTTGTCAGTGTTTGATTTTGTCACTGTTTAACTACTGTACGCCGGTATATGGGCCCTGTGTTGATGCTTTTACCGCGAATAGGATCCAACGACTGCAAAACGCTTGTATTAGATTTATTTACGGCATTCGTAAATATGATAGAGTCTAGTCGTTATTTGCTTTCATCTCTCCGTTTCTTTCACCGATTGCTGAGTACTGGCAATCCGCCATATTTGCTGAGGAAGATTAGATTTCCTGGTGACATTTATTCCATCAATATCCGGAACCGAAATTTAATTGCTCCACCGGCTCACTCTACCACTTTTTTTGAAAGATCCTTTACTTATAATATTTATTCGCTTTATGGTTCCGTTCCGGAGAGTTTACGGGGTTTTAGTACAGCGGCGTTCAGGCGCGCCATGTTTCGGAATTTATTTGAGGAGCAGTCTTAATGATTATGGGCGTTTTGTAATTTTAAGCACATGCGTACATTATTGAATGAACTGTTTTATATTTTGCTTTTATTTTGTTTTGTTTTTGATTTTGATTTTTTTTCCTTTTATATTTTTAGGCTTGTAATTAATATATTTAGCATACCTGTGGTCAAGGGATATTTGTAAACCAGAGAGTGGTTTTACCACTCACCTGAACTATCCCTTGTGGTTCACCTACATGATTATGTTAATATTTAGAATTTATTATTACTTTTTTTTTTATTATTATTTTATTTGTTATTATTGATTGTTTTCTTTCTTCTTATTATTGATGGGTGAATAAAAGTATTATTATTATTAAATTTCGCACACAGGTCACTCTTACCCTCAAGAACAGCTTATCACCCCCATTTTTCAACTCCCACCCCTGAAAAAGGGATGTTTTCGCCCTGATAGGCACCTTCCAATTAAACCAAATTCTACCACATAATAGAACACAGTTCTAAGTATTTTTATCAATTTTCAAAGCACCGTAACCCCTAACGGTTTTCGAGAAAAAAAATCATTCTTATAAACCGCGGACTTTAGGGGTGAATTTGACCATGATGGGCACTTCTGCAATTGATGAAATTTTAGGACAATTTAGAGGGGGCCTTTAACGATTTAAATCGACCGTCAAAACAACGTAACCCTTAACGGTTTTCGAGAAAAAAATTTGTTGTTAGACTGTGTATGTATATAGCGCGACGCGGACTTTGGGGGTGAATTTGACCCCAATGGGCATAACGCAGATCGATTTGACGCAGACTCTTTTGATCTGTCTCCATCAAAAGTTTTTTTCTATCAAAAACCCAGCTTCCAAATCATTCTAAAGTTTCATCAAATTCACTTATCTATATCAAATTCAGTTAAGGGTTACGGTTTTATGATAAATTTCATAGACAAATTCAAAAAAATGTAAAAACATGCATTTCATTTTTCAAGTAAGGGTTATTACGTTTTTTACATTTCTAATTACTGCTACTACAGGGTGCCCATTATGTATGGAATATATGTAGTATATATCTTGGTAGGTATCAACTTTATCAAACTTGTGACAATCGTCTATTGGATTTGGTTCTGACAAATACTGATCATCAGTTTGATCTTCTTCATGATGATTGTCCTCTCGTCAACGAGGATCAGTACCATCCATATCAGATCATACCCGGATCGTGGAACGGATTACGCAATCCCTGCTGCAACGTCACAACTTTTCTGCACTAGACGTGAGAAGAGATGACCAGTGTATCAAGTTTTTATCGAGTTCGATTACCTCGAATTATTGGAGATGTACACTAATTTATAAATACGTAAATGATTTGCCGAATGCTATCACTAGTGCATCGGTAATATAATACGCAGATGACACCACACTTATTAACAAAAGTACAAATTTGGTGGATGCTCTTGCCTTATCTGAGATTGCGCGATCGGAGGCTGAACAGTGGTTTGCCTGTAACAAATTAAATTTAAATAAAAGCAAAAGTATGGAAGCTGTTTTCACGCTTCGAAATACTGGTGCGGAGTCAGACAGAAAACCAGATATATCGGACCACATACATCAATAAATCTGCTCATACACTCCCGGACAGTACGCCGTAGGTTAGGGTTAGTAGATCTTCTCTGCATATGTGGTATCACTAGTTCCTTCGCTAAATCTTTCAAAAACATTCAGCGTTTGTGAGTTACACCTATGTTGTAGTTTGGATGTTCTTTCGTAAAGACTATATATGAATTGAGTGCTGCAACATCAATGATGTTGAAGAAAAACGTTTTACTTTGCCTCTTGCACGTGTATGTCGACACCATTTGATCCATGATGTCAACACCGCCCTTTGTTTTATTATAATGAGAGATGATTTCAGGCTTCATGGATATTCTTCATGGATATTCGTCGTATTATCGTCTTTGCGTCGTGGTGCATGTACTTTTTACGTGCGTAACTTACCATGGATACGTTATTTTGAAAACAAAACAATGAAGAGTAGACTACACGATCTTTTGAGGCTTTCATTTCTTTCGGAATGTCACGCTTATTCTGACGTAGTGTACTCACAACAGTAATATTTTTATCCAATAGATAAGTTGCTAGCGGAACACTAGTGAAGAAATTGTCTATCGTGAGATTGCGACCAGAATTATGAATGCCACGCACAAGAGTTTGTACTACTTCAAGCCCCAGGTTTTTATGTGGAGGTTCTCCGGGCTGGCGACCAACATAAACTAAACCATCCAAAGCATAACCAGACGTAGATTCACACATCCAAAATATTTTAAGTCCATATTTTGCCGGTTTACTTGGCATATATTGAACGAATGTGCATCTACCTCTAAACCCAACGAGTTGTTCATCAATAGTTACATTAGTATCAGGTATGACGCAGGTTTTGCATTGCTGAATGAATAAATCCCAAATGTAGGACACCATTGCTAACTTATCGGTTTCCAAACGCGCATTCCGGGTTCTCTTGTCGTCAAATCTGACGAATCTTCGTATTTCTTCAAAGCGAAATATGGACATTGTGGCTCGGTATACAGGATTGGCAAATTCATCACAAAATAATTCTCTCGCAGGAACATCCCAGCTTCTGTCAACTCCCGCATGAATAAGTAAACCACAGAATGCAAGAAATTCATCAACAGTTACATCTTTCCACGGTTTTCCTTTTGCTCCATAAACACGTTTGCCCTCTAAATTAGTACAGTTCACAATTTCTTGTACAATAACTGGAGTTACAAATAACTGAAACGCTTCTTTTGGTGTTGCAGCCATATATCTGCGTATGGTGGAAATAAGTACATAAGTCAAAATCAGTCACTTTTCAGGAGAGGGTAAAAACTTATTCATTTTAAAATAAAACAACATAGTAGTAATATCTTTTAATAAAGTGATATCTCTCACCATTTCACACCCAGTGCATTCAATTTTAATTGAGCGACTTGTTACATCTGCCACGTGAAACAAATACATAATATTGACTTATGTGATCGGCCATATACTGAAAACATAAACGTTTTCTACTTAAATTAAATTAACCTCAAAATTACTTATGTATACATAGTAAGAAAAACTAGAACAATCAAATCTTTAAGCTAAAATAACAAAAATCGCACATTTATACTTCAGATTGTCAAAAGTTGGGGTTGTCAGAATTTGAATCAATCTCACCTAAATCAGGATCTGTCGACACAGTTGAGCCAGATGAAATCAAGCCTCTGTAAAAATTATGAAATACAGGGGGAATAAACTGTAGTAGGGACAACAGATCCCCCTTCTTTTCTTTGGATATCGGCAATAATTCTTTCTAATTTGTGGGACGTTGCCGCCATCATCTAGCCATTTTGCGGATATTTTCTGCCGCAAGAAGGACACCTCTTGGTATGGTTCATAATGTTCATAATTGAATTGGATGATACCAAACTGTTTGCTGTACTTTAAACAGCGTACCGGTTGTCACTTTTTTTTTAAAACCTTTCAAAATATGTGAGAATTCTAAAAAGTCCTCCTGCGTCATCTCAATAATGGAAAATCTAGGACTGCACGATCGGACCAGCTGATACCAATCATGGGGGTGGCTTATCAATGTATTACTTTTTTTTTCCTCTCAATCACAGCATGATCGCCATCCACTTCCATATGAGAGTGTCCGGGCAACATGAATTTATGTTCTATTGTAGAAATGTGTGGACACTTTTGCAAAACTAAGGTTAACATTGCCGCTACGTAGGTGTTTTTGTTCCGTCCTCCGCACGTGTCCGAATATAGTATAACTTTTTTAATACCAGCAGGTAGATTTTGGAAGATGTTTAAAAATACACGAAGCGATTTCATTGGCTCCACGAGCCGCAGTAGCCTCATGCCAAAATGCAAAATGCTTGATTACTTTCATTATCGTGAATTGTCAAATTGTACGTCCAAAGCTGGCGTTTGTAAAACGCGATGGAATAAGAATGATATGGAATGAAGATAAGAATGGTGTAGGCAGACACTGTTGTAAATCAATCGTCAAACATCGGATACTTAGATTTTCATTTGCTAGTTGTTTATCTCTTGCTTTTTGTTTGTATGTTTCATCTGCAACGAATAAATGGTACTCTCGTTCAATAATAAGTTTACGCTTTGCCTCATCATTAAAATTTGTAGCAAGATCCAATTTGAGCTTAAATTTATCACATTCATCACAGGTATCTAATTTTCTTGGTTTAATGGCTAATTTCAAAGCGTGAAATGTTTCACTGTAATAGCGATATGACACTCCATGTGGATATTTTTCTCGGTAAAGGTCGTACATCATTTTTATTGTGAAGTGGGATGGTAAATATTTTTTGTCATTTTGTCGTCTCGTATAATGGCTTTCATGGGTGGGAAATGACAATAAATGTGTACGAACATTATTCATTTTTTGTTTGGAAAATTTGGATGGAGGAGATTTACGTCCCCTCCCATCATTAGCAATAAATCCACATACTGAACAACTTTTCTTACGACAAACTAAATTAACAAAATTGTCTGTTTCGCCAAACGTATTAAGAAAACAAACTTTGCACTTCGTGTACCATCTATGTCTAAGAAATATTTGTTGGTTTTTAATCTATATTTTTGACGATTAGGGTCTTCTGTTCGAGGTCTATTGACGGCTTTA